ATCCTAAGGAATTACAATATAAATTACATTTGCGTATGGTGCAATGTTATTTAAAATTAGGTAATCCAGATTTAGCAAAGGAAATGATTTCCAAAATACGTAAATCAATTAATGATCCAGATTATATTGCACCTGCTATAAAAGGTATACCACATACATACATTGATAAATATTATTACATATTATTAATATAAAATTATGCTTTTAATATATTTGCATTTTGATATCAACCTTCAGATGATATTGAAAAACGAATTTCTGGACTAACATTCAATGAATCATGCATACAAGATGAGTCCAAAAATATTGATGATTTGTTAGATTTAAAATCTATACTTATCTTTCATGAAAATCCCAATTTTCCATATGCATCTTCAAGCATTGACAAAAAATATAATGAAGAATCAGGCAGACATGTGACAGCAAATAGGTTTATAAAAAAGGGTGAAACTTTATTTATAGAAAAACCAATGAGTTTTGTAGTACTTAATCATGATACAGTGGATCGTTTTTGTCAACACTGCAATCGTTTAAATACAGACCTTCCAGTGCCGTAAGTAATATAATTAATGAAGCAGTGAGTACTTTCTTAAACTGGCAAAGTTTATAAATTGTTATGTTGACTTAGATGCACAAAGTGTTTGAACACATTTTATTGCACTGTAAATTGTTTGAATGAAGCGTGGTCTTTGTACCATTGTTGGGAATGTCCTGGAAGTCACATGGATATATGGAAAGAAATTGGGATAGGACATTTGGCACTAAAAGTTTTATTAACTTGTACAACAACAACAGACACAATAGAAGTTAATGAAATACAAAATTTGGTAACCCATTTTGATGAAGTGCCCATAGAGGATTTGATAGTCTATGGTATTGTAAGTGTGTTATATATGTACTTAAGAAGACACAACGTTTTGTATAATTTATTCAAATAGATTTTTTACAGACAGCGGTCATGCTTACTACATATTTATTACAATACACTGATTTTTTTGAAAGAAATGACATTAATGATCATCTAGCATACGACTTTAATATTATAACAAACAATAACAAACATCTTTATGTAAGTTCATTACTTCTACGATATATGCTACAACTTATGTGCAATGGCTATGCAATTTCTAGCTCAGACATACGATTGAATCAAAATGATCTTTCTATAGATCAACAAGACATTGTAGCTACAGGAATTTATCTATCTGCAAGTATAATGAACCATTCTTGCGATCCCAACATAATTAACATGTAAATTTTTATTTTGTTTAAAATACTCAAATTGCGTGATTTAATGCTCTGTTACTATTCTTACTATATTTTAGTTTTATGGATCAGTACCTAATTGTTAGAGCATTGAAAGATATTGCTCCAAATGAAGAAGTTTTTAATTGTTATGGTATAATAAGAGATTTTTTATATATTAACCATCTCTTTCCATTTCTATGATATCACATGTATTACCATTATCAATAGGTCCCAATTACAGACATATGTCAACAGAAGAAAGGCAGAAAATGTTGTCAAGTCAGTACTATTTTACCTGTAAATGTGAACCTTGCACTCAACCAAGTCTGCAATATTTCTTGGTAAAAATACAAAGAGTTTACTACTTCTGACATAATTTAACAGTTAAATTACAGTTATCTATCATTGCAGGAAAGGTTTCAAGCCATGAACTGTTCAAAATGTAATGGTGCATTGTGCACTATCAATAATTCTTTACTTTGTTTAGACTGTTTTGATAATCCTAAAGATTATCAACAGAATAAAATAAAACAAGCTGAAAAACTCTTTCAAGATGCTCAAAGTTACATTTCCCAAAAAAAATTTGAAGAAGCTTTAGAAAAACTAAAAGAATGTTTAAATATTAGGAGAACAGTATTATACAAATATAATGAAGATACTGTGAATACTCTAATTTCCATATCAGAAATATATATTACAAATGGTTTGTATAAACAAATTATATATATGATATGTTAATTAATTTTTCTGTAAGTAAAATTAGATGATTTTGTAGTTAAATTAGCAGATGCTATAGAATGCGTAGAAAGTACACTTTCTACGATTACAGAACGTTTTGGATCTTCTAGCACAGAGCTTTTAAGTGAATTAAGTACTCTAACAGATTTATATATTATGCATCTTCGAGAGAGGTCAGATACTACCACAAATACATACAAGTAAGTGTATTATGTTTTGTTTATGAATTTAAGAGGGTATTCTAGTTTCGAACGCGTGTTTTTGGTATTGTTTTATAAAGAATAAAGCAATTTCTTGTATCGGCGTTTTTTATATATATTTTTTATTCTTTTAACAATATTAAAACATTTTTGTAACGAGTATCGTGAGTAATCTTCTTTCAAAAAGATGCCTTATGGTTGTCATGATTCCGGCCGTTCTATTTGAAAAAAAAACACAAAAAAGATTCTTCATCAGAATGCGTTTAGTTACCGCAGGAACCACGAGGGAAGGAAAAATCGATAATTAAAAAAATGGCAGCATTTTGAAGTTAAAATATCGATCTTGTTGATTTTTTGTTTAAGTTTAGCAGGCTACAAAAAATAGTACACATGTACTGAAGGTACATACCAAATGTGAATGAATCTGAATTTCTTCTTCTTTTGTCAATCTGCATGGATCAGCATGTGTCCTAACGGCCTGGTCGGACTGTTCAAACGACTATGTATAACTTCATCAATTTCTAGGATCCAATAATATCACTTAGTACAATTATTTTTGAAAGCATATACTTTCAGAAAATGAAATAAAAGAAATCGATTTTTTAAGGTCTTATAGTCTAGCATACCCCCTTAAAGTTAGTGATAAATAATATATGTAAATATTTTCATGTTATAGAATTCTATTGGCAACAACATACAAATATTTGGAACAAATAGAAGAGTTGGCAGATTTTAATTATGGATCATGGAGTAACGTGTACAAAGATATAAGAAAGAAACGAAATAAAATTATTTCCATTGTTTAAGAGTTTATGTGTACACATTGATTATATTTCTGAAGGATTGAATAAATAAATACATTTTATGAAAATATTTATAATCCTTGTATCTATTTATTTTATATTTTTATTAGAAATTTAATTGTGCAAACAATGGATTCTTAGAATGTACCTCGGTAATGTAAGTAGTATGGAAAAAAGTGCCACTTAATCACTTTGATCCAACTGTGTTAAATGAAGGAATTCTTTACATAAACAGATTAAAGAAAACCGCGTAAAGGATATTAGCGGAGCAAAATTTTATTTAAATAGTGAAGGTCAATCGGCAATTTTTACACTTATTGAAAACAAAAGATTCGAAATTTATGATTCTTAGGTCTGCTGCTTAAGATTCTTAAGTCTGCTGGATTCATTTTTAAAAATAAAAATGTGGAAAAATGCATAAATAAACTTTATCAAGGAGAAAAAGATACGCTAAAAACAGAAATGATTTCTACATTTCCTCAAATTGATCAGGGACATATTCTTTATTTAACATCAAAATCAAGGTTAGAGAAACCTGTTGTCAAAGAGCGAATCGAAAATTTTATAGGTCTCTTTGGATGCTATTCCTGAAGTATCAATAATTCTTAAAGTGATACAATATACAGATTATCTTGACATAATTTTGGATTTTGATAATGAAAACATCAAGGATATTAATCCTACTGCTTCGAAAAATACAACAAGAACTACTAATTATGAAGACGGTAGAATTTACATACAAGCTAAGATAGAGGAAAATCAACTATTAGGTACTTTAGCTCATGAGTTAACGCATCTTGCGATGTACATATACCCTATACAATAAAAGTGATTGTAATCCGTTTGAGAATTTAAAGAATGCTAAAAAATTAATATTTTGCGGAAATAACAGCGAATATTAAAGAATATACAAAAAATACAGTTAAGATGATAAACAGTATTACTGAAGATAGTCTGTTCATAACTGTAATAAGAATATTTACATGTAGTGTTCCCACAAAAGTGTTCGTACACATNATGTAAATATTTTCATGTTATAGAATTCTATTGGCAACAACATACAAATATTTGGAACAAATAGAAGAGTTGGCAGATTTTAATTATGGATCATGGAGTAACGTGTACAAAGATATAAGAAAGAAACGAAATAAAATTATTTCCATTGTTTAAGAGTTTATGTGTACACATTGATTATATTTCTGAAGGATTGAATAAATAAATACATTTTATGAAAATATTTATAATCCTTGTATCTATTTATTTTATATTTTTATTAGAAATTTAATTGTGCAAACAATGGATTCTTAGAATGTACCTCGGTAATGTAAGTAGTATGGAAAAAAGTGCCACTTAATCACTTTGATCCAACTGTGTTAAATGAAGGAATTCTTTACATAAACAGATTAAAGAAAACCGCGTAAAGGATATTAGCGGAGCAAAATTTTATTTAAATAGTGAAGGTCAATCGGCAATTTTTACACTTATTGAAAACAAAAGATTCGAAATTTATGATTCTTAGGTCTGCTGCTTAAGATTCTTAAGTCTGCTGGATTCATTTTTAAAAATAAAAATGTGGAAAAATGCATAAATAAACTTTATCAAGGAGAAAAAGATACGCTAAAAACAGAAATGATTTCTACATTTCCTCAAATTGATCAGGGACATATTCTTTATTTAACATCAAAATCAAGGTTAGAGAAACCTGTTGTCAAAGAGCGAATCGAAAATTTTATAGGTCTCTTTGGATGCTATTCCTGAAGTATCAATAATTCTTAAAGTGATACAATATACAGATTATCTTGACATAATTTTGGATTTTGATAATGAAAACATCAAGGATATTAATCCTACTGCTTCGAAAAATACAACAAGAACTACTAATTATGAAGACGGTAGAATTTACATACAAGCTAAGATAGAGGAAAATCAACTATTAGGTACTTTAGCTCATGAGTTAACGCATCTTGCGATGTACATATACCCTATACAATAAAAGTGATTGTAATCCGTTTGAGAATTTAAAGAATGCTAAAAAATTAATATTTTGCGGAAATAACAGCGAATATTAAAGAATATACAAAAAATACAGTTAAGATGATAAACAGTATTACTGAAGATAGTCTGTTCATAACTGTAATAAGAATATTTACATGTAGTGTTCCCACAAAAGTGTTCGTACACATTTTAAAACGCAATAACTATTTTAAAACTGAACTAAATGACTTGAATTTTTTTAGGTGATAGAGGGACTAATCTACTAGACGATGACTTAAATGCTTTTTTTTATCCGAGTCTATCACGAAAATTTAGAAAATGTCTATCATAGATCTCGGTAACTTATATGTATGATAAAGACTCTGCTCGAGACTTTCTCTAACTGCTTGAGATTGCTTGAGACTGCTAGACTGCTCAAGACGGCGCAAGACTGCTCGAGACTACATATTTCGAGACTGCTCGATACTGCTCAAGACTGCTCAAGACTGCTCGAGACTGCTCGAAACTGCTCGAGGCCGCTCAAGACTGTTCAAGACTATTTCGAGGCCGCTCAAGACTGTTCGAGACTATTTCGAGACTGCTCGAGACTGCTCGAGACTGTTCGAGACTATTCGAGATACCAAATGTAACAGTATTTTATTAGATATTAATTAGTTGTAATGTGCTAAAATAAGCATATATTATGTATTTGTGGAATTTGTAGTTATAAGTTAGCCTTGTAAGTAATGTTGTGATGTATTTGGGCGCATGGAACCCGTTAGATTCAGTGCCTTATTTTCCAATAAACAACAACAAACTCAGTTGAAATAGAAATATTCTACGGTTCGAAAAATTCAATGACATTTTGTTATAGCTTTTGAACCACTATAGGTGTTACAATGAAACTTTTACTAAAAATATTTAAAAAATAATCATTCTTAACTTTAGATAATTACATATCTTTTGCGTTTGTTAAGGAATAATTTTTAATTAATTTTGATTGATATTTTTGATACGAAAATTGTTTAAATATAATTTTACGAATTATTTTTTGCTTTCTAAGTGTGTATTTTATATGTATGTCAAATATAAATGCAAGGTGAGAAGACCGCCTGTATCTACTGAAGAAGCAGTACCACGTTTTGGAGTGCGACTTCATCATTGTGGAGAACCAGACAATCAGGGCCAGTCAACTTGGAAACTGATCCCCTACAACTCCCTTGCCCTCTAAATTCCCAACATATACAGTATCCCAGAATCGGATCCGCGATTTTCTTTCTATCGCGATAAATTATTAGCAAATTCCTTCGTTCATGACGGAGCTTGTCCGTTCTCTTTGATGGGATTGATTCATGCCAATTTCCTGAAATTTTTTGACTGATCTTTTTGTCAACCCTTTTTTCCATAATTATTGAGTTTTTTTATAAGTAAACATACAATTTTTTTTAAATTCGGAGAAACTTATATGTTATGATGTCTACCAAATTCGTCACAGCATCCCCTAAAAGATGGATATACAAAAATTGTAGATATATGTGTGCAAATGAAGCAGGCATGCAACAACCATAAGCGGCGCATTATGCAACGACGGTGCACACTATGTATCTTTTGTTTCACATTATGGAAGAATGTATGGCTGTGGAGTTAAGTAAAAATGTTGACATTAGAGAATCCATGGTTGATGTCGAGGAAATTGTCAAGTTAGCTGATCAAACAGAGTTGGATAATATAAATGCGCAGGATATTGATGAATTATTATTACAGGTGAAAGCTTTTCCAAGTAGAACAACAAGTGCACGAAGATGACGAAGTAGCGTTTCTGAAGATGAGGAGTAAAAGGAACTCTCAACGGATTTTCTAAAAAAAAGTTTAGCCACTATAACGGAAATTATGGATCAGTTTGTACAAAATGATTTAAATTTTGGTAGAAGTTCAAAGGCAAGACGAAGTGTCATTGATGCGGTGTCTTGCTATCGACAACTGCTTGTTGAACGAAACAGGAAAAGACAAACGACTACATATTCTTTTGTATTTTAGATTAAATTTATTTTTTCTGCAGCATTTTTTGATCCATTCTGTCCTAATTTTACGATTTCTAGGGACTGTAAAAACATTATATGCTACGGGGTGAAAAGAACAAGTCAAATGTCGCGCCGAGTGTTTCAGATGAAGTGCCAAGCGTATGAATGCGTGAAAAGAATGAGTTCGCAAGCATGGTAAAGTGAGACAAGCTACATTGGTCATCGGCGTGACTTGTTTTGCTGTGCATCAACCAATCAGAGAAAAGCAGTTTCGGTGCCTAGACTCATATTTCTGAACGCTTTGCCCCCGACATCGCTCACATCGCTACAAATACTACAATACTTTGGTTGTTATTGGTTACCAGGCAACCCGTCTATTCTACAGACCTTGGATCATCTTGAGTTGCTTTGGGTAACTCAAGGTTGCTCATCACTAATCTAAGCGGTAGACCGACGCCGACGCGACTAATCAAATAATATTATACAATTATTAAAAATAATTTTATTTCATTATTATAATTTAAGGAGTATATTATATAAGTAATAACGTAGTTAATCTTGACGAAACACGCAGTAAACTGACAAAAACTGTTTTATTTTCTATCCAATAAGTGTGAATATGCAATGTAAATAAATAACTTTTTTCTAAGTATTTGTGTATTTGTATTTTTATTGTTTATTTAAGCTAAAATAAGTTTTATGAAAATAATTAATCGAACACTTTTTACAGAATATTAATCCTTTGCACTTTGCACTTAAATGGCAACTTAAAAGCTCCACTAAAAATTACTATATTATTTTTTAAAATAATTTTTGTAGGAAATTTTATTATATTTCAGAAATTGTTAAAAATTTTATGCATAAAATGTAAGAATGATATAAAATAAAAATACTATAGATCGAAAAAAATGTCTCCATGATAATTAAAATAGTTTAATTAATTATTGTTTTAATTAAAATAGTCGAGCGCAAAGGATCAAAAATAATATATGTATACATTTGTTTACACATTTTTTCCAAAAATTAACAACATATTGAAATTGTTTTACGCATTGAAATATCGGTAGTACATATATGGTCTATTGTAAATTATGAAAGAGCTCTTGTGGTCCCTCCGATTGTAGATTGTAGGTTGTGTTGTGTGAAAGTGCGAAAAGGGGCAAAGTGATAAGTGCGCCATCTGCAGACATTCGTTTTTTTGCACGAAAAACCGCCAATTCAATGTTGATTGCATATATAATTAATTTTTCTTCTACCTATTACAGAAACAAAATTTTGTTTTGAGTATATTATATCTCTATGCTTGTGCAAAAGAAATTTCAAAACGTTGATTTGACTTCAGCTACCTAATATTTTGATGTGTATGGCAATGGCGGATTTTGTGTTTATCATGTATTTCATATTATTATTGGTGTTTGAACTATGTACGGGTAGGTAATAATGTTTTTGATTCGAAAATATATTACATTAATCGAATATGGACTGAAATTACCATATGTCCTTCATATATTATCTTTGTTTAAAGTTTCATACATAAAAAGTGATGAGTGAAATATTTGTACCTATCTACAAAAGACTACAAAAATTGTATATAATTTGATGTTTCTGTTTTCAATTTGTTTCCTGTCAAAATTTGATGTGCACATAGATATAGATATACACACATATATACATATATAACATATATTAGATAACAGATAATACTTCATAACACCTTGAAATATATTTCAATGCTTAACAGGAATCGTTTTTAGGAGAAAAGGAGACTTTTACCTTAGCAGAACATGATTTTTCTTCAGAAAATGAGGAATCACAAAAATCCATAGATATTATAGACATTAATGATAATTCATCTGGATACCAACGCTTGAAGTGCTATATTTGTGAGGGACCAGACTGCTCGTATACTAAGTTCTGTCATAATGCAGTTACGGTAATATTTTTTGTATTATTAATTATATTATATTATAATGCAACTTTGATAACAACTTTTGCGTTATTAACTATATCGTAAATAAACTGTACTAATTATAAAGGAAATTAACATTGTATATTCTGTTTTATAGTGCTGGAAATCTAAAGTAAAACAATCTGATGGTACAATAAGTGTAAGTAGAGGGTGTACTTCGTCAGTAGACCAAATGTTATTAATATGCAATAAGCAACAGCCACTACATGCTAATCATAATAATAATAATAATAATAAGAAAAAGAGACACATTAGTGGTCCTGTAAGTGGTATCCAATATTTTGTTGAGTGTTGCCAAACAGATTTTTGTAATGGTGGACCATTTCCAATATTGCAAGACTATAGTGGAGGTAGGTACATGTAATATTCATATATTTGATTGTTTACTTAGTTATCCTTTATGACAAACATATATATTATTTATAGATGCTGTTAAAGAAGATTATACAGTTAAATTAACATTAGCAATTTTGGGTTTGATGGTTGGATTTTGTGTTATTGCTGGAGGACTGTTGTTTTATTTATTGGTATGCAGAGCACGCAGGAAACGGCCTTTAACTGCTAAACGTAATAAGCTCGTTATTGAGTCTGAACTGGAATCGTCATATCTACATTTCTCATTTTCTTCTCCAACATCAGTCCCTACATGTCCTGCTCATGAACTTAGAGCAACTGCAGCTGGTGATAGCACATTAAAGGTAAGATACAATGTAACTGCCCTTAAATTAATAGTATAATAATCTTCTCATAATTATGTCATATCAATTTTCATGACATCTACTTTGAACTTAGTTTTTCTATGCAAAGTATTAATTCATTATAATAATGTTTGAACATAGTCAAAAAGGAATATATTAAAAAGTACAAAATGCAAGTGGATAAATATTTGTGAAATTTCTTAACTATTCTTAAATTATGATTAAAATATAAATCTACATTGACTAGGTAAGAATTAAGAAAGATCAATAATTTGATTCAAGAGTTGTAGTTGAAAGAAAGTTCTAATTATCAGACACTTATTAAATGAAACTTTTATTTAATGTCGCAACATATACAAATAGGAGTATACAATTAAACAGTCGATACAAATTATTTAAAAGCCTAGAAGCGAAACACGTTTACAAAGTGTCCCATCCTCAAATTATTGATAATAGAACTCAAAGTACTCAAAATCACATTAATATCCAAATAACATCTAAAAAATGACATTAACATCCAATCAAGACAATATTATCCAAATCTTTATATTACCTTTCTGTTATAATAAATTGAATAGAATCTACCTATTTGTAACTATGGTCTATTTTCTAAAAGAAGCCACAAAAAATATTCATGTAGTTATTGTAGCTGCTTACTCTACATATTCCTATACATCTATTGCAAGTCTGAAGTAAGGGAAGTGGAGTAGACAGCTTTTATTACTGTGAGCATATCTTATATGTACTCATTTAAAAACAGATCATAGTAACGAGTAATTAAGCTATTCAATTGCAATCATTTCAATGATTATTGGTTAAAATGTTTGAGGTTTTTAAAGCCATACAACCTGTTTGCAGCTCAAATCTGTTTGAGCTGAAATAATTGATGGTTGAAATCATTTGAAGACTTGATATACAATATTGTTATCATCATGAGTGTTTCTATTGATAATGTTATGTAAAGTGATCACATTATTTGATTGTCGTTATTTGTGTTTCCATTCAAGTGATTGTAATTGGTATTAGCATGTATGTGTGCAGTAAGTGACGTCCATTGCTGTAAAATTACTCTAAAATTTATGGAGTAGAGAACAAACTGCAAGAGTGTGTGAACAATTATAATGGGTGAGCAAGAATTGTATGGTACTTGAACAAACATAGAAAACTAAGTGGTGAGTGAATGTATTTTTGTTATATTTAATATAAGAATAATTGTGACTTGTGTCAGTGTGTCATCAAATACATATTTTAAATTAATGGGTTTTGGAGCTTATAGAATATTACTACTTAAACTCTAAAATCCAAAATTTGCTTACTTGAATGAATTTTCCTTACATTCTGCTGTCAAAGAAAATTAGAATAATTTTGCATAAAAATAATTTTCATGCTATTATACTGTTGTATCTTAACTACACAGCTAGATTTAGACTTATAATAAGATAAAGTTTAAGACACTATCACATTTATTCTCCCCGTGATGTTTCTATTTTTTATGGAGAACTCTGTAAGTCTATTATTTATAATGGAGTTCCAATGACATGAAGGATCTATTTGGATTCTACAGTTAATCACGCTGTAGAAAATGCTATTCGACCGTTTATTTATCGTGTTCATAAAAGACTTAGAAAGCTTGAATTTGGAATATTAAATAAAGTAAGCTAATTCGTAACTATTGTCTTAATAGTTCTACATTGGTCCAATTTAAACTTATTTTCTATCTTTAAAGTAATTTCAAGGTCACAATTAGTGGTTATTCAATTTGTTTTGACATTAATTAAACTGTCATATAATAAAAAACAGGTGAATATAAAGAATATAAAAGATAGAACAGTTAAATGTTAAAAACAAAATCAAACGTTACTCACACAGAATGGTTGCCCTATTGGTCGCTTCTATCGGCGTTGATTACGTTACTGCAGCGTACACGCGGCACTGCCGAGTCGAGACAAACGAGCAACCGACTACGCGGCGGCAAAACGCCGTGTACGCGTTGTCGACAGATATTTTCTCGATCTGTACGAATTAAAAACCGTTCCGACACTTTTTCTCGATAGTTTCTTCTTCAGAAATGTCTACAGTTTTAAATGTTATGCTCAGTTTTCGTGCCAAGTAAACAACTTCTCGTAAATGTGCAAAAATATTGCGTAGAAAATACGTACTTTGGCATTTTTTTAAACTTTGATGGCCGTTTAATACTATTTAGAACTATAAAATATTATAAATATCGATACTGACATATTCAGAAATCTTTAAGGCAATATGACCTTTATAACGTTTTCAGTTTTCGTACAATACTTAGTTTTTGCTAAAAATTGCACGCTGTTACAAAAACTCGTGTTTTTGAGGTAATACAGCAATTCGATTTTCGGATTCTTGGAAGTGACGCTTTACAAGAATCGCCCAGTTAGAAGATGAAATGTGTATTGGACACTGTTAGCTGAGTTCCTCAGTAGTTTCACGATTTCGAATCAAGTTCACTCTTGAAATTTCTTATTAGTTTAACAACTTCCTGATTGTGATTAATCCATATACCTACTAACATATTGCCAATCATTTTCCTTATAAACAAATCTTGGTGGCAACATATGTACATACTGCTCATGATTGTAGCTAGTAAAAATTGATTATTTATTTATTAATCTTTATAAACATATCTTTACAGGTAATTCTTCTAAACACATTAGTTTATTTATTACAGCTAATGGAACTAATTCTTGATACTAATTCAAATTCATCAGCAAAAGCTACATAGCTAAATGACGATTTTGATACACTGGGTTCAAATCAGGGATTGAAAATAGTTATGAAGAACCGAAATGTTCTTATAATCGTTATAAGGTACAGTAATAGGTCTTACTCCTGCACACCTCCAGGCCATTAGCGAGGGTCAATGTAGAAATTTCCTTTGCTCTGATTGGTTGGCAATTTACTGCTGAGATAGGATTCACTATGGGTTGGATATGTAGTAAAATAGTAAGAATATGCGAGCCAACTTACTGTGTAAGAAAAACGTGCAGGTGTAGGTACTATATATCGGTGTCGCTTTCAGTTTCGGTTCTTCAGAACTGTTATTGTATTTGTTCTACATATAATTGTCATTTTTCTGTGTGAGTTTTGATTTTGGATTTCGGTTTTAATTCTATTTCATGTAATAAATACATTATATACCCTTTGGGGTTTAAAAGTATGGATTCTACATATATATATTTGAGTTTCCATCACACCGAAATTTAAACAACTGAATAATTTTGTTTTTTAGGATTAACATGGGTTCGTTACGAAACCATTTTGTTCTTTTCATTAGATGAACAGTGAATGAACGTTCCCTTAAATAAAAAATTATTCTTAATATTAGTGTTAATAAATTAATATTATCATATATTTTAGTGTTGTTAGTGTACAGTGTACATAGATTATTAGTATAGTAGTATAATTTTCTTTAGTTTAGTAGTACAAGAGACTACTAGAATATGAAAATGCGCTGTGTTATTGGAAATTGCTCTGCAACAATTTGCTTAGTTTCGAACTAATGAGAAATATCAATTTAAACTTTGTTTAACACAATGTAACACAATGTGATGTTATCGAAGAGGAAAGTTGGGTATTATTTAGATAAAGAATTATTTAAATAACTATCCGAATAAAAGATACTGTATCTTTATTCTTTATTCAAACGTTCGAATAAAAATAGTATGTTTATTCTTCGGATAAATTCTCATCGAATGAAATTATTTATTCGATACTCGTCGAATAGAAATACTTTTAGAGTATCTTTTATTCGCTATTCGAGATTTTTACTTAGATAAACATTTTGTTCAACTCTGCTTCGTACCGATCGGTTTCCCCTTGATGCGAATATCGATCAATGCGTCCCAATCGCTCATTTGTCACACTCGCACAGCATTCATTCGCATTTACTTTCATTTCACACGTCATACGTGTACACATTCATTCCTAACATTGTACAGTCTCTTAACTACATACATTGAATTTTGCCAATATGTGCACAACCTTACATGTAGAAGCAAGCAAACGGGCACATACGCACGCCACGGGTGTGCATGTATTGCAAAATTCAATGTAGTAGTAACTGTTGCTTCTTGCGAATATCTCGGAAACTAAGGCCGAAAACTAACTACAGTAAATTCTCCCAAATTGTCCTTCAGCTTGTTAACAAAAATGAACAATTTGGAAAGAGGAGATCAAATTATTCAAGCCTTGTGACTCGTTTTTATAGTCGCCGATTATCAAGAATTATAAAAACGAACCGCGAGGCTCGTGTAATCGTATCTCCTATTCCCAAATGGTAAATTTTTGTTTACAAACTGAGGGACAGTTTGAGAGAATCTATTGTAGTTGCCAACATCTCATATGAGAGAGAGAGAGATTTTTTAAAAAATCAGGTTTAAAATGTTATTCTCGGAATTCTAGTCAAAGGAGCGCGTCGCGTGCCGCATTCTACGTTCGACTGACTCCGTCGAACCTTAGTATAGATGTAGGAATAACGCATATAGGTGTAGAAATAGATAGAACAGGGACAATGTATGCAAGCTTCTAACAGGGACTATTAGGAAAAATGTACTGTACTAAAAAATTTTAAATAATGAAATATGCATAGCCGAAATTCATAACCGAAATCCCCAGAACCGAAAAATAACAGTTATAGAATCAATATGATATTAATTCTCAAGAACCGAAACCGATATAAGTCAGGACCGATACACCTCATAACGGTTATGAAATCTTTTCGGTTCTCCATAACTGTTTCAGTCGGAACCGACTGAATAACAGTTTGAAACGTTTATTTTCGGATCCTTTTCACAATCCCTGGTTAAATTACTCGGTTAAATTACTATAAATATAATTTTTGTTTTCTGTTATGTATTTGTTACTTACAGATAATATAAATATAAGCATATAAAAATATTTATTCGAGCACAAAATACGTGTTTGCTGCAAAAATGTTTAGAATATTTATTACATTTCTCTTGATACTTGTTATCGTTTATAAGTATGGATTCGAATGAATTCGGGATTCGTGATATCTTTCTAAATCTGTGAATTTTGTGATTTTGTATTCAAATAGGAATACCTTGATGGAAGAAGCTTAACCAGTGGCTCAGGTTCTGGTTTACCATTGCTAGTACAAAGGACATTGGCTAAGCAAGTGTCATTAGTGGAGTGCCTTGGTAATGGAGGCAATGGCGGATTTGGTGGAGAAGTTTGGAGGGGTGTTTGGCATGGTGAGAATGTCGCAGTTAAAATATATTTTTCACGTGATGAAGCAGCATGGGCGCGAGAAACAGAGGTCTATTCACAATTACTGCCATCCAGACACGATAATATTCTTGGTTACGTTGGAAGTGATATGACAAGTAGAGCGAGCTGTACTCAACTTTGGTTGGTGACACATTACCATCCTATGGGCTCACTTTATGATTATTTGAGCAGATCGCATCATTCACTTATGCATCATCAAATGCTCAACATTTGTTTGAGTATTGTGAATGGTTTGCTCTATTTGCACACGGAGATTCACGGAACTCGTGGAAAGCCTGCAATGGCACACCGTAATTTGAAGTCTAAAAACATCCTCGTGAAGACCAATGGGAGTTGCGTGATTGCAGACTTCGCACTAGCGGTGACGCAAGATCGCCTATCCACGGATAGAATTGATTTGAAACTGGGTACAAAACGGTACATGAGCCCTGAAATTCTTGAGCAAACGTATGTATCGTTTTTTATTCATCTTTACTACTATATGGGTATTTCTATCTTATATTCTATGTATATTCTAATATCATACAATAGTACCATATTAGCCGCTCACTTGCCAAATCGATTAACTCCATAAAGCAGAAAGTGGAGAAATGTGATAGAATAATATACAATATTTTCAAAATTACCTTTAAAATAAAAACTGAAATAAACATTGTATAATGCATAAATGCAGATGTAGCTTTCATATAAAGATATGTAGAATAAATAAGATAGAATAGCCGTGATGTAATTGTTATTAACTGAAATAAATTATTTATTACACGGCGACCATAAAAATTTTCTTGTTTAAGATTATTTCAAGTCATGACTGAACCAAGTGCTCTGATACTAAAATTTAAAATATTTCAAGAAGTAGAGTTAATCGACGTCATTTAACTCTTTTACTTTAATTTTTCACTTTAATAGTAACATATTGTATAAAAGAATATTTCACACGAAAGTTGTTTGCGATATAGAGTAGCATACATGGCGAAACTTAATTTTTGGTATTTTCCTTTTTTTTATCGAAATATGAGTGCAACCTTGAATTTTTTAACTATAATGTACAACATTTAATTATATCACTAAAAAGTTTATTAAATATGGAATACAAAATTATTAACATGTAAGGGTTCAGAAATTAATGTTTACCGAGATTTCTTTAGTTGATTATTAATAAATAATATTAATTTCATTATTAATTAATAAATAAATTTTTATTTTGTATTCTTGTAATAGACTTTCGAATGGCGTCATTAAATGTTGCACATCATGGTTAAGAAACTCAAGGTGACCTTCATATCTTAAAATAAAAGAAAAATGGCAAAAAATTAATTGCTCCCGCGTATGCTTCTCGTTATACCAAACAACTTTCATTCGAAACATTCTTTTATATTATTTTATATAAAATTAAGATGGAAGAAATAAATGACTCACCCTGTACATACATATAATTAAAGAAAAATTGGTAATTCGGTAGTTCAGATAAACAATTTGCTTAATTGGATGTTTGATGCTTTTTACTCGCTATGTTCGTTAGTACTTGGAAAAGTATGTAATATGTGAAAAATGTTAAAATAGTTTACATTATATTATACTAACAAAGGAACGTTTTCAATTGTAACTCGCCGATTTTAATAACATTTTAGTATAATGAAAAAAATGGTGAAAAAAATGGTTTTGCTCCGAAAATCGAGGGCACAAACCATATTTTCTTAGATATCTCGAGAAGTAGAGGGCGTAGAACAATGCATTTTTTCCTTAAATGCGTGTTTTTGATCGACAAAAATCACTTGAGAAAAGTTCCAAGAAAGTTACTTGCTTAAAAAATATGTAAAAAATAAATTGTTTTTTCAATTTTTGTTATTGTTTATCCATTTTTATGTAAACTCGTATATATAACACTGTCCGACAAAATCATTCTGTATGTGACTTTTCGTGGCTATTTCGTGGTCATTTCGTGGCTATTCTATGCTTTTATCACAACGTTTGTGATGTTGATGGAATTGTTTTGCATATGTTTAAAATTGAGTCCAAGAATAAGCAAATAGGATCAACAATGCAATTATATGTACAAATAATTAAAATAATTCCGCATGGATCTGTTTGATATTATCTGAATTTGAATCTTCATAATATTAATATACATTAACGCACATTAACATAATACAGAAAGAAACGAAAAATATTTGCTTCGAAAATTCGATTACATTCCTTTACACTAAACCTATCGAACAATAAAGTTGACTAGTGTACAATGCCTTATAAAAATGAAAAGAAAATCCAATTTATTTAAATTGTGTAGTTTTTACTATAGTAGTTACTCCAATGTAATTTATTCGATCATATCTTATGAAACTATCTTGCATAATACATAATTGCAAGATGGGGCTCATTCGAGCGTGGTAAATTTAGTGTTAACAGAAATTATATTGATCAGATATCTGCGGATATCGCCGTGGATTGGCGTGGCGATGATTATTATCGCGTCACGTTAAGGGTTCATTTATATTAACGTGAACGCGCCGACAACGTCTCGTCTTTTCGAACTCTCGAAGGTCACCACCCACTTAATGAGATTCAAGAGCGATGTCAGTCTCTTCATCTGTATATAAACATGAATTGTTGTAACTTATCGAAATCAACCGATTGCATATAAGTTACCGAGATCTACGAAAGACATCTTTTAAATTGTCGTTGTAGGCTTAGATAGAGAAGTTAAAAAATGAAAGTTTTCCATTTTTTTGTCACTCCAAGTAATAGCAAAATTTAGAAAAAGCATTTTAGTCATTGTCTAATAACTAGTCCCTTTATCATGTAAAAAAAAATTCAAGTCATTAAGTCCAGTTTTAAAAAAGTTATTGCGTTTTAAAAGGTAGATGAATACTTTTACGAGCCACTGAATGTATACCTGACATATCTGGACTCGTCACGTGCCAAGGACACTCATTGACGGGTCTAGGTTCGGACAAATCTGACTCTTGACAATTCTTCTAACGATGAATTCTAAGGAATACATTTCGGAATTTCCCCGCGGGGTCATAACTCCGTTATGAATGCATTTACGGAAAAAATGTGGAAGGTATGATGCAATTGTTAATTGCACACGCACCTATGTATTTAAAAAATATATCTAAGGTCCTACAGATGTAGGATTTCTTCGAGCCATTTATCTTCTTCTTTGGCATTTTTTCGTAAATGCATTTATAACGGAATTATGACCTAAAACAATTGTGTGGATTACCCTGTATATTTTACACTGTAGAGTCTATTACCTATAAGTCTGGACAATACAGATCAAATACATCCTTAGGGTAAGATGCAAGGTCTAGGTAGGAAGAGTGCTCATGACGGTGAGACGCAAAAGGGTAAGTTGGGGTTCCAAGAGTTTTGGGAACGGTAGGCCCTGTTTATTTTCTTAGGATGGGCGGTGGCCTTTGAGATTTCAAAAAAGACCTAACGTTGTCGGCGCGTTCACGTTGATATAGGTGGACCCTAATATGTACAGCATCTTCTTTGGTCATTATAAAAAAAAACCAAACTAACACTACGGTAGTTAGTTCCGAAGGTTATTAAAATTTTATGTGATCGGTTACAAAACACATCTGAATACTTCTTATTGTTAATAACGTGTAGTAACATTAAACGACGGTATAATATCGTTAAACGATAAAAATAAAACAATTGCAAAAGGACGTATCCCCTATTTTAGTCCGTAGACTGCACACATGAGTTTATATAAAAATGGATAAACAATTAATATGTAGAATTGAAAAAAATTAGTTTTTAAATATTTTTTGAACAAATAACTTTTTGGGAACCTTTTCCAAGTGATGAAATTTATCGATCTAAGACATGCATTTAAAAAAAGCTTGATTATCCTAAGCTTTCTACTTCTTGAGATATCTTTAGAAATTATGGTTTATCAAAATATTAAAAAATATTGCACTAGCAGATGGAATTATCATTAAAAGTTATATATATATATATTTTATTTTCAGAATAAACATGGAATGTTTAGAGAACTTTAGACGATCAGATATTTACAGCTTAGGACTGATACTTTGGGAAGTTTGTCGAAGGTGTATAAGCAATGGTGTAGCACTTGAATACATGGCACCATATTCTGAATGGCTTCCTAGTAACCAAGAACCTTCCATTGAAGAAATGCGGAAATTAGTGTGTTTGGATCATCGCAGACCGCCACTTCCTAATAGATGGCATTCTGATTCTGTAATAAAAATATATTTTTTAAATTATATATGTAACGGTTTTAGTCTCGCACGAAGTACACATTATTTTTTATGTATTAGTAGATTCAATTATGAAGTACTTTTTTATTTTGGTATTATGTCATATTCTTAAAATAGTTTTTAAAGAAAGACTTTTAATTGCTGTATTGTGTATTTTGCAGACACTGGCTGGTTTGGGAAAATTAATGAAAGAATGCTGGCACGGAAAATCAGCAGCACGATTACCTGTCCTTCGAGTTAAGAAAACACTTGTTAAATTAGCAGCTAATGACTCACGCGTCCACTTGCCCCTCGACTAATACTAGGCATATATTAAATTATATGTATATCATTTTATGCACGTATTTATTGATATGAAGTTAATGAGCACTTTGATTGGTGTTCTAAATTTTCTTCATCTTTAGAAAAATGTAATAAAAATGCGTAACGTTTTTTATTTTATTACTACTGTTTTCTATTCATATGTCATAAATTTGACTTCTTTTGTAATATTTTGTCATATACATTTGTGATTGACGTAAAAAAAAGTGCCACTTAGTAAGTAATTCATCATTTCATCATTTATTTAGGGATTTAGCGTTGAATGCACAATGACGGCCATATACTTACGTACAAATTATACCTTTACTTTCTAAACTGTGTATATTTTCTTGCCACACTTTAAAATAGTATCAAAACTGTATTTTCCCAAAATTCAACCTGTTTGTTATCAATTAATAACAAAGATTTTAATTATTTTAAGAATCCAACAAATTTATGCTTACTTTGTATCAAGTACCAATTTTTCAGGCGGAAAATTACTCGAATATATTTTAAAAACCTATTTATTCTTGTACCTAATATTAAATTACAATTGGGATATTGTTACGACGTAAATACATATTCTTTAGAAATTTTGATACAATCAAATTCATAATAGATATGAAGCCCACTATTTTGGAATTGATATGAACAAGCGACATTTTCAACTGCCGACAACTTAACATTGGAGTTAGTGACGCTAGTTAGTAATTTATTACACATTTTTTGAATAGACAATGCGCCTTTGATATTTTATTTGAAAATCTAATTAAAGGATCAGGATGTGTACGTTACAAAATGAAGTGTATTTTCATTCCTATATTATGTTTATATTTATTAACTAAAATCGTCTTCAGAGCTAAGATTAGAAATAACAAATTCATGTACAGTCAATTTTATACATATACTTATACATATACATAATTTTTTATTTGCTTTAACATGTTCTCCGTTTAATTAATCTTTAATTCCATCAAGTTTTAATCCTTCAATTTTTTTTTACCTAGTATTATATTATATATCTTTAAATCTTTCTTTCCGTAAGTATATATAATCTGTTTTAGAAATTTTTAACATATTCAATATAAGATAGAAAGCGTTAAATTCAAAATGGGGATTATGACTTATGTATATTTGCACCATATGTATACATGTCAGCGACAGCATATTTTTTATGAAACCATATAACTTTTTTTCTGATTTTCTATAGCCATTATGAAATTCTTGTAGGGCTTTACTCTTCGAACAAGAACCCGAAAACTGAATTGCTCCATCACTCTCAGTTTCCGAAAAAAAACAAGCTTTTGTAAAAACCCAGAATTTTCGACAAAAATGAGGTATTGTATGAGAAGTAAAAAGTTAGAAAGTTCTAATCAGTCTACCGGAAAGTTCTGTCCATTTTTTAATTGAAGTGTAACACAATTTTCATACATTTAATAATATTTATTGTAGAATATACTTTCCATCGTTACTTATGACTTCTTGCCTTCGTGATGGCAACTAGTAAATGCCATTTTAAAAAAATGATTTATTTTTAGAGGCGAAGAACTAAACTAGTGCTTGGTTGACATCAACTTCAGTTTTGAATTTTTTTTCCTGTAAAAAGTTTTGCAAAGAGAGAAACAAGTGATAATCGAAGGGTGCTAGGTCTGGGGAGTATGGTGGATGTGACAGAATTTCCCAGCCTAGCTCTGCGATTTTCTGACGAGTCGTCAAAGCAGCATGTGGTCTGGTATTATCATCGGTAGTCATGTTTTCACGATCGCGTCTCACTTAATAATGACATGAGACATCTTTGTTTCAGTTTATTTAGGAGAGTACATGTGTGTAAATGCAATGATAAAGAGAGATAGTCATATATGTCTCAAATCAACATGTGCATATGGATTGAAACTTGAAGTGACACTATCGGACAGAACTTTCCGGTAGACCTAATATTTTCTCGGTCTATTCGAAATGTAAATTGTTTTGACCCTTCCCATCGGGTCGTTTTTTCTTTCTTCTTAAAAATACAAAAATATTGCGAGGAAACTACGCACATCGGTATTTTTTTAAACTTTGACATTAATTTATAGGGCCAAATTTAGGACCAAAAATAATTAATAAATTGTATGCCACTATATTCGGAAAACTCTCTATCTTTTAAGATCAATTAGAATTTTTTAACCTTTTTATTTTTCATGTAATACTTCATTTTTGTTGAAAATTTTGGGGTTTTACAAAAGCTCGTTTTTTTTCGAGAACTGAGGGCGATGGAGCAATTCGGTTTTCGGTTTCTTGTTCGAAGAGTGAATCTCTACAAGTATTTCATAGTGGCTATAGGAAATCAAAAATCGTGTCGGACAGTGTAGTCTGACACTATTCTGCTTTTGGTCAATTTATAGTAGGGTCATAGGTTCGCCTCTTAACCACTTGCGCTGGCAAAAAATTCACCGACGCGTGTACCAGAACGGTCCAGTGTAACTTGTTGGGAGGCGTCACAGAAATCGGAAAAAGATTTATATTTTCTAAACTAATTTATTTTCCATTTTAGAATATGGGTTAAATATTAACAATTGTGCGCTATGCTGTGCAATGATAATTTGTGCTCTGGCAAACAATCCCACACGACGTGCCATGCACGTCGATTATTTCTGTGACAATCGCATGACGACGTACATACCACGTTGTTGGCGATTCTGTGACAAAAGCATTACGACGTGCGTGGCACGTCTTTCCAGCGCAAGTGGTTAAGGCTGTAGTTCCTGTCGACGGACAATCCCCAGATGATGTCGGGCATCTCGAAGTTATACAGGTACTTAATGGGGTTTTTAAGTGTGGCAGGCGTCTACAGATCGTTTCGATAAAAAAAAGCTAGAGTTATCTCCTTGAGGGATCTGGCCACGGAGAGGGAAAGGCAAGGGTGCTTTTTGATAAGAGGACTATGATTGACCGCTCGACACTTATCCCAGAACCATCGAGGTGAACATTCCTTGCATTTACTCAAAAATTGCTAACACAATGAGTCTTTATAAGTTTTGTTTTCGTCATTTAATTCTTTACGAAAAGGCAATAAATTGTCGTACTTAAAATTTGTTTATTTTCATTAATTTGTAATAAATAAAATAAGTTTCTTATCCCCTATTTCAGAAGCTGTTTATAGCTTCTAAACAGAAAACAGAACAGCTACATAGAAAAAAATATGTCAAGTATTTTTCAATACTTTACTATACGTATGTAGTTTTGGGACTTCGAATCGCTTCGTATCAGTCCGAATCCCGCATTGTACTGCAACACAGATTCGAATCATTCCGAATTTGATTCGAAGTCTTAAAAGTTTTGAAAGTTTGGAAGTCTTGTATACCTTGATCGTTTTGGCAGTCTTGATCAGTGCAATCAGGAAAACCAACTACGCAAGGCGACGCATGCGCAGGGATTGCTGCACAGCGGCGTAGGACTTTTACCGGGCGAACATTACAATTCTGAACTATGATCATACAAACGCTCTGCGTCGCCGTCCTAGACCAAAATTACAATGTTCACCCGGTAGACGTCCCACGTTGCTCTGCGGGACTCCCTGCGCATACGTCGCCTTGCGCAGTTATTTTTCCTGACTGCACTGATCTTGATCATCTTGGAAGTCTATAATATTTGACAGTAACACATGCGACTCGAGACAGCACAGCGGCGTGACGCGTCTACTGCGTGAACGTTATAATTTTGAACTACGATCAGACAGAAGCTTTAAGGAGTCATGTTTAGTCAGAAATCTTAAAAATGTTTAAGTGTTGATTGTTAGTGAAAGTATTACATTTCGAGAATATTTACTGAAAGTTTTATTGTAATCGGATAAAACTTGACGGAGATATAGTCACTTAATGGTTTAAGAGCTAGAACTTTAAGAACTCCTAAAGTATACGGTACAAGCGAATATAACTGCTATATATATATATATATATTTTTGAGGACTAGAAAATTTTCACTTTGGCATGTAATTTAGTTTATTAGACAGAAAAAACGGAAACAAATTTTTGGACTTGGATTTAAAATTGTTGTGCTTTGTGAAACGTGCCGATCGCCGCACGCAAGAAGCAACACATGAAGGTAGAATGCTTTGCAATCAACAGCAAATAAATGTTTTGGAGATTAGTACTTCAGCAGGAGATGATCAATATCGACCTGGAATTGATGATTACTCAAGTAATTTACTCATAAGTAAAAAATAAACATTTAAGAGTAAACATAAATTGAAATCTTAAACTACATTTTCCACATCGGTGGACAGGATATCTCGAGAACTATTGTATCGGATCGGACGAAATTTTTGCAGCCTCTTTTCGCACACAAAAATGTTATCCTTTAACGAAGGATTTTTTTCCGGTTCAGAATTTTGGTTTTTATAGCTATTTTTCATAAAAAATAAAATCTTTCACTTTGAATGCCTGCCATCTTGTCAAAAATCAATATTTCGAAAAATCATTCGTTCAAGAACAAATTAAGAAGAACTGCCTCAACTTACATATTTCTGCATATTTTTCAATAAAAAAATGCAATTAGTAATAAAAAGTCTACTTTTTCAAATAAAGAAATATCGACTGAAAACGGTCTTAAAAATTTTGAAAATAAACTCCCAAAAAGCACCATTCTTTTAAACTCCTAATTGAGCATGACCCCTTAAGTCGCGTCGCAATCGTGGTTCAGAATTATAATGTTCACCCGGTGGACGGACCACGCCGCAGTGCAGGACTTCCGGCGCATCCGTCATCTACCTCACTCCTTTTTACCTCACTCATTTTTAGATTACATTGTATCACACAGCACATGTTCGAGAATGTGAATACTACAATTGTTTAATGTAAGGCGTGACATTATAGAAACAAAACAAGCTCGCCAAAAAATTCAACTACACCGTAAAGTCTTCTCATTTTTTGGTCAGCAAATAAATAATAACGATCGTTGGTATGTGTTTATTATGTGTCAAGAAATTTAAAGCTTGTAAATCAACAACAATATTGATAAAATATTTGTAAAATCAATATTCACTTCAAGAACCAGAAAAATCTTTTCAATCCCAATATCCCTTCTGGTAGTGGTAAGTGCAATACAGATTTGGACGTTTCCGGTTTAACCAATGTATGGAAGCTTGATTAATCCGCTCTTATTACGGGTTAACGTATCTACGGTTAACCCGCTCTTATTGCATGTTAATGTATCTACGGTTAACCCGCTTTTAAAACGGGAGCAGTTCGATGTCGCCCCCTAGCCAAGCTGACCACTACATGAGGACACAGTGAGGGATTTTGGTTAGAGTATTTCACGGGAAACGTGGTGAGTCCCACACCACGGGAACATGTCAGCCCTCCGGGTGTGCGTAAATACATTTCTCCTCTACTTAAAATAAGAAACGAGAAAACACATCGTCTATCGGATGCGGATGGACAGCTATATTGAATTTTATATTGTAAAAAGTTTCCCCTTACGATAGATGACAGTTAAAACGCTGCCCCGAACGTCGACTTTGGTATCCCCCACTCTGCTCATTATTGGGACTTAGCCCCTATTGGCTTGCCTAAACACGTGACACGAAAATGCGGCAGGACCGTCTCACGGATGGCCGCTGGCGCAAGACCAATTTCCCGACATCGTCAGAGCGCCTCCACACCACTCACGTTCGGCGGACCCCTTTCTTGGCGGGGTGAAACGACGATAGGACATCGAAAGTTCTCATTCTTCGGAACTCCGATATCGAAGAATGTCTTGGCGTGAACTGGCTCTTTGAAAATGCAACGGATGGTTCTCTCGAAAAATGAAAAACGTCGTCGGATCGTTCGATGGCCGTTAACGATCAAGCCAAAAGGACTGCGCGACACATCGTGAACAAAACGACAATGTGCGGATCAATGTTATCAGAGGATTGATGGCGTGAGACGAATCTCTTTGGTCCCCCACCTTCTTACAACGTGCTACGTAATCGCCAACAAATTGAAGTTTGAGTAATAGAGGGAGTACGTAGTAAGCGCTGGATTGTCACGGTCTGCTTTTTGGCCACGGTGCTTTCCCGCCACTTCAGTATCTTTCTATCCAAGACTTTTTAGTAGAAGTGGGGAAAAAAGGAGCTTGTGACCGATTGTGTGCAGGAGAAGGAGGCGATGTCCGGGGAGCCCTATGTGCCATCATTTCCCTGGCAACACTGATGCCGACCGACAAAGTCGACGATAACGCGAGCATCGAACGCACGTCATCACAACAGTGAATGGACACATACTACGTTAACGCCATCACCGGCCAATCAGCCGATCGAGTGTGAACGAAATCGCAGACACGAAGTACTATGTATATGTTAAATAGGCAATCGGGACGGCAATTCACCGTGGGTCGGTTTGCAAGATGCCCCTTGTAATTCGCTCTAGCTGATTAAGGCCAAGATGACCTAGTTCTCTTTCGGACGCTTTCGACATGAATAATCTAGAGCTGTAATCTAAGGTGTTCCTTACGAACGGTAGCAAGGGGTCACAAGAGATGCTGTTCTCTCGAATCGTGCCACTTCACTAACAGTCGGAGTATCAAGGTGCTCCTCAAACCCTATCCGGTTCGTACCGATGCTGTCTGTTCCCTTCCCGAACTAGCCGGCGAGAACAAACCAGCGAACTAGCTTGGGGTGTTTTCCAACAGTTAGGTGGAGGCGTATTTACGTTAACGTATATTAAAACTAGGATAAGATCTAGTATATGTATAAACCGATGTTAACACTTAGCCGACCGATCGGGTAGATCTACTCATTTCCAAGCTAGTCGGTGGCCGACTGATCGGGTAGATCTATCCATTTCCAAGCTAGTCAGTAGCCGACCGATCGGGTAGATCTACCATTTTGACCTGAGGAACGCTTCTTTCTCTGTAGAACTTCTTATTTCCATAGAGTACAACATAATTATAATAACATGCACTAATTTTTGAAGTCTTTTATTGCCCATTATTACGGTTCTTTATGTTCGGGATTTTCGAAGGTGCCTCTACCAGCAATAAGATTATTTTATTAGAACACTTAGCCGATCGATCGGGTAGATCTACCATTTTGACCTGAGGAACGCTTTTTTCTCTATAGAGCTTCTTATTTCTATAGAGTACAACATATAATAAAATGCACACCAGCACACCAACACCACACCCATTAGAAATCGAAATGCTACCTACACCTCACTCTCACGACTTTTTCGAATATATAAGACTCCGCTCAACTTGCAAATATTAGTGTAGAAGCCTAAGCTCCTTGCTGTGACTCTCAACAAGTGGCGTGAAACGAAGTATAGAAAAAATATCCCTAAAAATGTCCAGAAACATGAGTGACAATTCAAG